CGCTGGCCGCCCGGGGCGGGGAAGTGGCAGTCAAAGGCGGCCTTTCTGAGCGGCCGGCCAGGCGGAAAGAGGGGAGATTGTGCGGGCCCAGAGGGAGGCGCCGCTCTGGAGGTGGCGGGAGTGCGCTGGCTGTTAGCGCGCAGCCCGGGGAGGGACCCTTCCAGGACCTGGCTCCATCCGCACTTCCCAAGCCCATCCACTCCCAGGGTCCAAACCCAGCAGCCCATAGAAGTTCCTTTCTTGTTGGGGGTTAAACCCAGGGCCTTCTCACATTGCATCCCCAGTCCTTTACAATTTTTCTTTTCTTTTTTAAAAATTTGAGACGGGATCTTGCTAAATTGCTGAGTTGGCCAGGCTCAATTCAAACTTGCAGCCCCCTTGCCTCAGCCTCCCAGAGTGTTGGACTTACAGGTGTGCGCCACCACATTGGCTCCATAAAACATTCAAAACTACCTCCTGCCCCTTGATCTGTCTTTGCATAAATAGCATCTGCACATGGACCCTGTGCCCACTGCCCAGCAGGACGATGTCCCTACAGCAGTGTGCTGGGGCTGGGAGTCCCAGCTGTGTGGGGTCAGGACCCCGTGCTACAACTCTCAGCACCCCACTGTCCCCCAGAACCTGGGATTGAGGGTGCTGTCAGGGGTAGTGTGAAGTAGGCCTGCTAGGGCTTGTGGCTGGTTTCCAGTGCAGGACCCGGGGCCTGGCCTTCTGGGGAGGATGGAGCAGAGCAGTGGGTCCCCCAAATCCTAGCATAGTGACCTGGAGCCACTTCTGGAGCAAGAGAAAAGGTAACTGGGGAGGCGGGACTCTAACCACACCGGTGTCCTGATTTGTTCAGAGAGAGATGGATGGGCATCCAGGTGGACAGACAGCGGGTCAGGGACAGGACATCCGTCAGCACCCACCCACAGGTTGGCTTTCTCCCAAGCTTTGGCACCCCTCTCCCATGGAGCCAGAGTCCACCCCAGAGTGAACAGGACAGGGCCGCTGCAACTGCTGCTTAACTCTGGCTGCTCAGCTATGGAGCAAACGACCAGAGGCTCAGCAGCTGGGATGGCCCAAAGGCACTTCCTGGTAGCTCTGCCATGGGAAGGCCAGGATCAGGGTGCTGGTTTCTCCTGAGACCTCCTCTTTGACCTGGAGCGGCCGCTCCCCTGCTGTCCATGTGGTCCTCAGACTGGGCCCTGTGTCCTCACCCCTTTAGTGTCGAAGGAGACCACTCAGATCCGATTGGGGTCACCCACAGGACTTCATTTCACCCGGATTACCTTAAGCAGTTCTTTTGTGTGGCACTGGGATGTAATCAAGGGCCTTTAAAAATAGTTTAAAAATTTGAGACAGGATCTTGCTAAGTCAGTAAATTACCCAAACCAGGTCCTCCCAGAGTGCTGGAATGACTGGGGTGTGCCACTACACCTGGCTTTAGTTACCTCCTTAAAGACCTGTCCCCCAATGTAGCTCCTCCGGGGATTAGGGCTTCACCTTATGAATGGGGCTAGTGGTAATTCAGCCCGTTGCACAGCAGTTGGTTCAGACCTGAGCATGGGACCCTGTGGTATGAAGGAGGGGGCTGTCAGGGATGGGCGGCGGGGGGGGGGGTCTCTCTGGAGATTCTCTTCTGTCCTAAGGGAAAGAGTACTTAGGGGGAGATGCCTTCCTCTTGAGTGCTGTCACACTGAGCCTCGACACCTGCTGGGGACCCGAGACCTAGGATGGAAACAAGGACCCCTCACAGTGCAGCTGGCCAGGTGAACTGCCCTGGAGCTTCCCCAGGTTGTAGCAGGGCTGGGTTACCCCGTCCAGCATTGCAGCAGCCCCACAAAGCAGCGATCAGGAGCACATGCACCGAGCCTGTATAAACTGTGTTTTTCCTTACATGTGTTATGAGTTAGATCTAAAATGCTCCCCCAAGCTCACATGCTCTAGGTGATTGGGTCCCAGGGGCACCAAATTCATCTGTACATTAATACATGGATGAGTTCCGTAGCTACATGTGCTGTTAGGAGGCGTGGCACACTCAAGGTCAAAGGTCATGACCTGCCAGGGTGTGTTCCTGTCCCCAGCTTCTCTTTCTGCTTCCTGGCTGCCATGAGGTAAGCAGCTTTCCTCTGCCAGGCCCTTCCACCGTGATGTTTCTGCTTTGGAGCCAGCAGTCCACGGACTGAGTCCCCCAAACATGAGCTAAACAAACCTGAGCTTTTAAGTTGTAGGGGTCATGTATTTTGTCCCGGCAATGGGGAAAACAACTGCTACAACATACATATCTATGATAAGGTCTACTTTCTAAATTAAGCACAGTAAGAGATCAACAATAACAAAGTAGAAGAATTCTAACTATATACTATAAAAAAAGTTGTTTGAACATGAGTCATCTCTAGGATTTTCCGTATCCTATTTCTGAACTGCGGTTGGCCCCAGGTAACAAACTGTGGATAGGAAGGCTTATTGTACACGCCATTCCAATATATACACACATACATCTACATAAATATATTCCATGTATATGCCATTTCCAGGCCTGCTTCATGCTGTCCCTAAATCCTGCCCACCAGGATGGTCCTGTCAGAAAGCTGTAGGGAGAGGAGCGGCCCTACCCCCTCCGCCTCCCTTCTGAGGTCTTTGCTGCAGCAGCAGGGCTCTGCGTGGCTGGCACAGCTATTCTGCAGAGGGTGGTGGGCGTCTTGCCACAGGAAAGGGAGCCAGAGCTGTGTCCTTGAAATGACTTTTACCTCAGGGCAGAGATGGCTTCAGGTTGCCCTGGCTGAAAAAGCCTGCTTAACATCTGCCATGATGGCAGACTCTGTTTGTACAAGTACTGGGTGACAGTGTGGCTTCCTGTGGGTGGCTCATCCAGACCCAATAATGTTTCCATCGACTGCTGCAGTGGGACAGGACAGCTGCCTCTGGGCAAGATATGCACAGTGTACCTGTTCAAGAATTCTTCAGGGTGCTGCCTCCCACACGGCTCCACTATTCACAGGGCAGCCCTGGGCCTGGCCTGAGCCCTGGGGCTTCTGCAGAATGGGCTTCCACTCGCGGGTGTCCTTCTTGTGTGTTTCATTCTGCTGTTGTCTACCTTGTTCCTTGGCACACAGAAGCAGCTCAGGAAACGTGCGCTGAATGACCAGTGGCCAGGGGTGTCAAAATATGACAAGGTCTTAAGACAAGTTTTGGTTAATTGAATTGTTTACAGGAGCCAGGTAAGCCCTCCCACAGGCCTACAGGTGAGCTGGGGGTGGTGGCACACACCTGGAATCCCATCACTGAGAAGGCTGAGGCAGGATCACAAGTTCAAGGCCGGCCTGCCCTACCCAGCCTGAACTGTACAGTGAGACCAGGCCTCCACAAACAACAGACAGAAAACATTAAAAAACCACAATGGAGCACTAAGCCAGTAAAGTGTGATAAAACCCAGTCACTTAGAGGAAAATGGCTGCACCTTGCACTGGAATATTAGGGAAAGTAAATCGGTCATACAGCTTAAATATGGCACGGTGAGGCAGCCAAGCAGAAATAATTTAAAAGCAAAGTCAAAGATGGGTATTGCAGAAGAGGGAGCCAGACCCTCTGCAAACAGGAGGGGATCTAGGGCTGGGGAGGGAGGGGAATACGGAGTGGAGAGAACTAGGCTGTTTGACGAATGCCATCCTAGTGCACTGCCCCTCTGTTCCCCAGACTCAGGCGGGAGGACCTGGTCCTTGCTCAGGAGGGGTGGATGGGACTTGTCCCTGGCCCCCTCCAGCCCAGGAGCACCATCACTGAAGGGCCACCAGCCTGGAGGCTTTTAAAACTAGAAACCAAACAGCCGTGTGAATGGGGTGGACTTCTTGGCCGGCTGCCACCAGGCCTACTGCGGCCGAGGGAGGGGACATGGCATGTGTGAAGACGCAGGGTGAACTGCTTCCTGAGAGCCTGTGGACCTCAGATCACAGCATGGCAGGGCAGGGTTTTCTTAGTAAGAAAGAGAAACAAAGCTGCGGGCTGTATGCTACAAGTGCTTTTATGTGCTCTGATGACTGCATCCAGATGCAGCGTGGGTGAGGCCTGGCTCCCGGATCTGGTTGCAGGAGGTCCTGTGTGTCTGCAAAGGTCTTCTCTCCTACTGGTGGTGTCCAGCAGGGTGCAGGGCTCCTGCACTATTGGTGCAGAGCTGGAGCTGGCAACCAGCCTGGGCTGTGCCCGGGGCCCACTTAGGGCAAGGGGCTTCGCTGGTGGGCATCTCAGGGCATCCTGCAGGCTGGAGGATCTGCCTGTCTGACTTCCTAATTCATCCTGGAGGGTTCCAGAGGCTGCTTTGCTGCCACTGCATGATAAACCAGCCCCAAGTGCAGGGCCACCTGAGGGTCAGACAGGCAGGCCGGGCGGCAGGTGGCTGTGACCTCTTGGGGACGTGTGGGCCAGTGCACTCTGTCCTGAGGTGGCCTCCTCCCTCCCTCCCCTGCTGCGGCCAGGCTGGGACACTGCAGGCACCCTGGGCTTGGTTCCTGCCTACAGCCCTCCCTGCCCTGTTCTTGGGTAGAAGCCCTTCGTCCCTGGCTGGCCAGGACTGGGACTGCTGGTGTCCAGGTGAATGAGGCAGAAGCTGCATGGCTCCTTCCTGGCCCAGTCCAGAAGGCTCAGCACAACGCTGCCGCCGTCCTCCACTGCCCACAGCAGCATGAACCCTTTTCCGCCCTGAAAGAGAGGTGAAGGATTTGTCAGTTTTTTTTACAAAAAATAACCAAATAACCACAGTGGTCTCTAGGCTGGGTGAACAGCAACTAGCAGGGGTAGGCCTTGAACCAGGCCTTTTTTTAACACAAAGATCTGGGTCCTTCCCACCAGTGAAAGCAAACACCTCAGAGGATCGGGCTGATACTACATCAGCCACCCCTTGCTGCCTTCTGCCCCACCCCTCCCGGCACACAGCCACCTGGGGGTGTCTTTTCAGGTAGGCTGGGCGCAGAGACTCCCAGCCAGTGGTGGGGGTTGGTCTGTGTCCAGGTGACAGACAGGGAATCAAGACAAAATGAGCCAAGAGCCAGCGGACAGGGACGGCTTGCTAGACCAGTGACAGCAAAGGCCTCGGGGGTGAAGGGATGCTCCCTGCTTGGCCCACAGAAGGCCTCGCATCTGGGAACCCTGTCTCTGCCTGGCCTGCCCCTACAGTGCACACATAGACCCCCCATGGAGCAAGGTGGTCCCTGACCCTCAAAGCCACTCAGCCCATGGGTCTCCCTGACTGGGCCCCCAGTGACAGGGGAAGGCCCACGGGGGTCTGTGCTCAGGGGTTTGCACAGAATTTCTCTTCATCAGCAGCACCCAGAGGTGTAGGAGAGAGCCAAGAGCATGGCCGGGAGTGAAGCAGACTGGGTTCACTTTGAACTCTGCCTCCTCCACGCATGCAGCTGTAAATTAGGTGCTTGGCGGTACACGATGTAACCCCAGCACTCTGGGAGCTGAGGGTGGACGATCAGAAACTGGAGCCTGGGGACACAGCTTCTCCGAAGCTTCCAGGCTCTGTGGGAATCTTCTTGGCATGAACTGGGACAGATCCAGCTGGAGCTCCTCAGCCCAATCTTGTCTAGGAAAATCAACACAGGTTCCCATGTCATGGCTGCACAGTATGTGAGTTCCTGAAAAGGCGGTGAGTCAATCTTCTTCCACAATCCAACATAGGGACATCTGGGTGAGCTCTGCATGATGCTGAGGCAACAGGGGCCACACACACACACACACACACACACACACACACACACACATGCAATGAACAATCAGCTGTGACTCTGGCATTCAAGCCCTACTCAGTGCACCAAAGCAGCTGAACTTTCAGGGAGACAAGAACTCTTTTCTTTCAGTACTGGGGAATCGAACTCAGGATCTTGCGCTTATGAGGCAGTCTCGGTCCACTGAGCTAATTCCCCACCCTCTTTTCTCTCTTTTGAGAGAGGGTCTCACTGTGTACTTCAGGCTGGCCTTGAACTCCTGAGATCCCCCTGCCTCAGCCTCCTGAGTGCTGGGATTATGCCTCAAAGTACTCTTGAAAACGGGAAGAACTATTTCCTTATAAAATATCCCACTTATTTGTCAGGCCTTTGCAAGCCTGTAGTGAACACTGCTCCCAATCATGGCCCAGCTACACCTGATAATCCAAAACTACTTCCTGTATCTTTGTACCTATTTCTTCTCACAAGAACCTTGTTGATGCCAGGCACGGTGGCACATGCTTGTGATGCCAGCACTGGAGAGGCTGAGGCAGGAGGATTGGTACATGTTCAAGGCCAGCTTGGGTTACACAGTAAGTTCAGGGTCAGTCTGAAGTACATAGCAGGACCTTGTCTCAAAAACAAACAAACAAACAAACAAAGGAGAACCTTGCCGCAGAGAAAAAGCAGTGTCACGCCCATCTTGCAGTGAGGCGGCTAAGGGCCGGGACAGCTCTTGGGCAGTAGGAACACTGCCTTTAAACTCTGCAGACTGCAGACGTCGAAGGGGGTGGGGGACCCCACACTCAAACGAGACCCCTGGCCTTCACCCCCCACCCTGCATGCAGGCCTGGGGCCCCCAAGCCCCTGCTCCCCACCCCTGCAGCCTGCTTGCCTCCAGCCCCCCCCCATGCTGGCTGTCCCTGTCTCTCCCCTGAGGATCTCCCTGGGGGTGACCCCATGTGCCACTGTACATATGCCCCTGGTATAATGGACCCCAGGCTGGAAGCTGGTGACTGTATGAACCACAGCCCCTTTGAAGTGTAGAGGGAGGGTCCCCAGGGATGGTAGAGAGGACTTGACTGCACTCAGCATGACATTTACATCTGTATATAGGTGCAGGGGAAATCTGGGTGGTGTTTTGAAGGATGAGTAAGAGTTTGTTAGATCTGCAGTGGGAGGGGTAGGGAGGGGATTCCAGTGGAGAGAACAGCACAGGCGGAAGAGCAGTGCGCGAAGGCAGACAGGACCTGGGGCCCTGCCAGGGGCAGGTGGGGCAAGGCAGGGCCAGGGCTAAGGAAGGTGAGACGGAGGAGAAGCTGGAATCTGGAAGAGCTTATTTTTCAGCACTGTGGTATCCAGATTTTATCTGAGGCTTCCTGCAGGGTTTAAGGCCAGAGCCTGATGTGATCAAATTCAAACTACAGGAAAGTGACTGAGTGCTGTGTGGGGCAGAGGAAGTTATGCTTTGTGTACCACCGTGGCCCCTGTGTTTAGCAGAAGTTTGGCAGAGTAGGCACTCACACTTGCCAGTGGGAGGACGGGGCCAGGGCCTCACTTCGCAGGGGCAAGAGTAATGCGGGAACTGGTCACGAGGGTGCTAGAAAGACCAAGCACTGTACCGATACTGGGGCAGTTGGACTAGTGGCCCTGGAGGACCAGAAGCCGCCCCCCGCCGGGAGTAGCTGGGACCATGAGGAGGGGGTTCCACAGGCTGGAGTCCCCAGGAGGTGTGCTCTGGGCCGGAGTAGCACCGTCAGGTTTTAGGGGGCCCTAGGAAGAAGCAGCACGGCAGGGGAGAAGCTGTGCTCAGTCTTAGCAGAGCCCGGGAGGAACCCTGGCTGCACCATCCTCACTGGATGCAGATCTCCTGGGAAGCCAGGCAACCCTGGTGGGCAGGGCCCTTCGCAGGGAAGGCCATTTCCACCAGGGCAGTCGGGTAAGGGACAGCCTGTCCACCCCTCCCAGCTGGGAATGAAACCCGGGCCTCTCCCATGCTGGGGGCCTCCTCACAGGCAGACAGGAGGGAAGACATCCCACCTGCACCTGTCCCTCCAGGCCTTCCCACTGGGCAAACTCGGCTGGGCACCGGTGGGTCGTAGAGCAGGAGGCCCCATCCTGGGAGAGGGATGGCCCGGGACTGGGGCACGGCTGGCCCTAGGGTGCTGTGCATTCTAGAGGCTGGGGGGGAGGCGCCGACTCTGGGCCATGCTGGTCCTGTCCTGCAGGTGTAGGGGCCTGGCTGGCAGTGCAGGGGCTCTTAGACCCTGGCACTGGGACTCTGGAACTGCAGGAAACCTCGGGCGGGGTCTCCTGGACACAGGTTCGCAGGCAGCCTCCTCAGCCCCTCCTGGAGCTGTCACCCACTGAGCTTCCCTTTCCCTCCTGCCCACCACCCAGCAGACCTGCACGTACACAGGCCTGATGCTCCTTTCCACTCCGAGGATTCCTCTCTTCTCTATCTTCCCGGGAGATCTAATCTTGCCTCCCAGTCCCCAGGAAATCCCAAGAGTTTGCTCTCCGCTGCGTGGGAGCTGTTCAGCCACAGCAAGGAATGCAATCTTTTTAGGCTTCAATTTCTCCCATGAAATGGGGCAAAAGAACCCCGTAGGGTGGTTGTAAAACTGAAGCAAGGTAACACGTGCGAAGTGCTAGGAACAGGGCACTGAGGGCACCAGAACATGCTATTTTTACTCTTCCAAATTTCATACCCTAATCTCCAGCGCCTAGCCCTCAGTAGATGCTTAATTGGAGTCTGCAGAACGGAGACTTAATAAGGAAATTCGTGATTCAGTCTTGGGGCTTGACCTGGTTTTCAAAAAATAAGTATTTAGCAGAGGTGCAAAGAAGGATTCTGCCAACAGTTCTCTACGTCGGCCGTCCGGGGACTCCAAACTGACCTGGTTAACTCAAGAACGACAGACCCCGGCGTTTTCGCGAAGCTGCACGGGGTACCCCTCAAGCGCTCACCCACGTCCCGCTGCACGCAACCCTTGCAGCACCGCGGCGGCCACGTGGGCCCGAGCTCCCACACCCTTCGTCCCCGCA